TGCAAATCTTTTTCACTTGTATTTCTGAGATTATGCAATATTTTGAGCGATAAACTAAACTGATTATCTGGGTTCACCCAACACAGTCATGCACAAAACGTGTAAAATCAGATTAAATGTATATTAAATGTATGCATATATTCCGAGAATCTCCATAGACATTTAGCTATGCAGGACAAGTTAAATGTAGTATGTGTGAATGTTTTTTAAGTATTCTGGTTAAGTGTGTTGAATTAGATCCAGCCTCTGTTTCCACAAATTTCTTTGGGCTGCTTTATTTTCCAAACTTTAATCTTCTATGCTTCTCTTGAAGGTATCTGAAATATTTATGACTTTTTATCCATATTTCTTCTTCATTTTTAAATTCTCTGGTCTATTCCACTGCTCTGTGGGATTCTGAACTTTTCAACCAGAAGTAGCAGAGACTCTCTTCCAAATGTCACTCAATTCCATGTAATCCTTGACTTATGACCATAAATGAACCCAAAATTATGGTTGAGTTGACAATAGTAGTTGTACAGTGGATCACCACATGACCTTGCCATCTGATTTTATGTGTTTTTTTTTGTAGTGGTCATTAAGTGAATCCATTTTTACCAATGGGTGATTTTGCCAGAAATTGGAAGCAAATGCAGGAAACTGGCAAAAACCACTGAAAATCAGGGTGGTCGTAAGTCGAAGCACCATGTAACCAGACCTGATTTTCCAATCATTTGTTTAACGTCATCGTTAAACAAACCTCAGGGTCATAAATCTGAATCCACTCTCCCAAATGGGTGGGGGTTTTTTTTGCCAGAAACTGGCCAAAAAATACACCATAAATTGTGGTCACATGAAGATGGGATGACTCAACTATTTTATTTTATTTGTTTGTCAAACATGTACAAGATAACAAGTATAGGTATGAATATAAACATGAACGAAGGAAGTAAATACATATAATTTTTAAAACTAGTTGCAAATGTAGTATTTCAATGCACTTTCAATGCAGTCAAGTTTACATAATATTTAAAAATATTAGCATCCTATTATTTAAATAAATGAAGTATTGAAAATAAGAAAGAAGTAAATAATTGACACCATGTTACCTGGGAGGACTCAGCCTCCGTTCCAGACCTTCCAGTCCTGCCATCACTTTCTCTTCCCCAATCCAGGAAAACAAAAAAACAAAAAAGGAAAAGAGAAATGCAGGAGTGAGCTAACGAGAGAGAGAGAGAGAGAGAGAGAGAGAGAGAGAGTCTCATTTAGCTCCTTCTTAACAAACAGATTTCCTGCTGGGTTTTCTCTTCTCTGCCCTCTGCCAGCTGTCTGACTGACACCCAAAGTGGCACTGCATGCCCCACGAGCAAAATCCCACCTGCTTTTTCTGCAGTGGGCAAGAGGTATCCCCCAGCAGGATGGTATGGCCAAGGGCTCATAATCCAGTCCTTGCCAACGTTTGGGAGGCAGCTGGCTCACCTGGGGGCAGAGGCAGGAATGTGTGGCAGCTGAACTCTCCAAAAGGTGTGTATGGAATTGGAACAAGAGGATGCTTATTATTCAGTGGTTTCCTGCTACCTCAGCAGCTCCTCTGCACTGAGCTGTTTTTCAGTCACTGGAGTTGGCCCTGGGGGTAGGCATGGCTGCTATCCAGGCATGCTTCACCTCCTGCAGGAGAAACCACCCCCTTCCTGGTCTGGCAAAGGGGCCAAGGAGGTTTATATAAAAGGAAGCAGAATCAAATTAGGGCTGCTATACATAACGATAAATTCAGCTGCACAATAGCAGGCCTGCCCCAGGAACATTTTTATGTAATTGGAGTTTTTAGGGCCATAGAACTTGAATTCCTGACAACTCTGATTTCAGCGTTAAGGCCCAGAAGCTAAGCTGTCAGTCCTCATGATTGGAATGTAACTTAAATAGGAAGGCAGCCAGAGTGTTTACAAGAGGTGGCGTTCCTGGGCCCAGGATAAGAGCTTGACCTTGACCTCTTTTTTTTTTTTTTGCCTTCCCAAATTTTCTATGCCCATTTTATAATTCGTTTATGATTTAATTAAAATCTATCATTTCATTACAAGATGGGCGGCAAATAAATTCAAACAAACAAACAAATAAAAACTGGGCCAGTTTACAAACTAGTGTAAAAATACAGCAACAACCTATAAAATCATTTTTAGGTCTAAGAAGCCACTCATGAAATTTTATGTCTAAATTTTAGGGAGGAAGAGAATGCAAAGTGGATGGGTGCTTGTAGGGGTGTGTATGCTTGAGTAAGGAGAAGTAGTTGTTTGAGAACTGCCAGGTTTAGCTTACCTTGTTGGGTAAACCTAGAAAATTATAGATTGTGAAAGAAACTTTGATTCAAATTTCAACCAATCCTGGCTTGGTGTGGTCTGTGTAGCCACATAACTCATCTCATCTGTCTTAACAATTTGCTTGTTCATACATACTTATCTCAGTGGCCCACTGAAAGTAGCTTATCACATGTATTAAATAACCCCATGAGGTCAAGGGATATTAATGACCTACGAATTTCATTGCTGGGTATAGTGCTGTGCTGATAAATGTACAGGTAGTTCTCACTTAGTGATGGCAGTTGGGACTGGCAACCTGATCCTGAAGTGAAGCAGCCACTAAATGAAATTGTGACTCTGCTTATAAGCTTAATTCAGCTTTTCTTTGCTTAACAGATCCGTGAAGCTCATAAATGTGGCAATTGGTCACAAAGTTATTTTTTAAGCATTGTTGCAACTGCAAACGGTCACTAAACAAAGGAGGGCTACCTGTATAATATATGGCTCCATTGCTGCATGAGCCACCAAACAGTTTAGCTCTGCTCTCAACCATCCTGCACAATTCCTGAACATTTAACAACTGTCTCTCACAAGCTGGTACGAATCAGTTCTAGCACACCCTTGGATGGGTAAGATGCTATCCAGCTCCCCTCAAACTATTTTCCTGTTACTTAGCTCCTCTAGTCACATCTGCCACAATTTCCCAGAAGGACGTGACACACAGACAAAAGGCTAGGGCTTCGAGTACATGGCTGTGACTACCAGTCAACCCTTCAAGCAGAACAGAATAGGAAACTAAAGTCATGCTAGCCAGTATTATTTTTAATGTAAAGTTATAGTGACAGAATCTTGCAGGTTGAAAAAGCTTCTCTTTCCCCCATCCCAAACGTATCTTTGTGAGACCTAGGGAGGGTCTTGTCCAGTGGTGGGATTCAAATATTTTTACCACCGGTTCAGTGGGCGTGGCTTGGTGGACGCGCTTTGCGCACCTGCACACACTTTGCTTGCGTGCACCAAATGCACACTTTGCACAGGCACAGAGGTGTTCTAACTCACCTCTTGCAAACCTGCATTATCCCAATTGCTTCAGCAACTGCTGTGCAGCACTCTTCTGTGCCGCGCAAAGCAGCTGCGCTTCAAATTCAGAGGATAAAGGGCAGGGATGGGATTCAAATTTTTTAACAACCAGTTCTGTGGGCATGGCTTAATTGGTGGGCGTGGTTTGGTGGTCCTGTGACTGGGTGGATGTGGCTTGGTGGTCATGTTATTAGTTGGGCGTGGCCAACTCAATATCATTCCCATCGAGGCACGCATCTCCTCTCCTAGCCTCTCATTACTGTATGGATGCTGCAACAGTTCTAAGTGTGAAAAATGGTCATAAGTCACTTTTTTCAATGGTCACTCCACACAAGCAAAGCACAAGAAAAGGAAGGGAAAAAAACTCCGAGACATTCCTGAGGCAGGAAGTCTAGTCCTGCCAAGAATGTAATAAGGGTTAACGGAAAGGCAGTTTCTGTAAGCAACCCCAGAATGTTTCCTTCCTGCCTTCCTTACAGGATTAGGCTAGTAATTTCTTCTAACAACCGGTTCTCCAAACTGCTTAGAATGTTAACAACCAGTTCTAGCGAACAGGTGCGAACTGGTAGAATCCCATCCCTGATAAAGGGGAGTATGGGAGCCCGGCAGAGATGGTATTCAGCAGGTTCTGACCAGTTCTGGAGAACCGGCAAATACCGCCTCTGACTGGAGATTTTGCAGTATTCTTCCCCTGCCATGCCTACCAAGCCACGCCCACAGAACCGGTAGTAAAAAAAAATACATCCCACCACGGGAGCCCGGGCAGGCGGGTGGGCCTAACAGCAGAGTGGCAAGAGAACCGGTTTGGTCTCCACTGCTCATTGCTGCTACTGGCTCGGCAGAACCGGGCCAAACTGGTAGAATACCACCACTGGTCTTGTCTGAGACGCTAGTTGGATTACGCTTCTATCCCAGACTCAGATTTATCTGACAATTGTCTTGGTTGTGGCTTTTCCTCCTGTACCTCAAGGTTATTCCTTCTTCCCACTAAATCTCCATCTGGCCTGTAAGATCCTACTCCCCTGGCCCTAGAAACAGGCCTTGGAAGCGTTCGAATGGCTCTTCCCTTCTCAACATTCTCCTTTCCATTCTACAGACCCGCTTGCTTAGCTCCTCGGAGCCCAGTCTCTGGAAGAACAGCCTCGTCAAGAAGTTCAGAACTTTTTCTTGGCACAAACGCAGCAGCTCTCTTGAGCTCTCCAATTGTGCTGATAATACAGCACGTGATCCTTGGTCTTTGGGGCGGCTTCACAGGCCGGCTGTTGGCAGCTGTGTAGATATGAAGAGTAGATCCGACGTCTGCCCTCAACCCCAAGAGCCCGAGAAGGAGAAATTCCCGTCTCAATCAAGTGAAATGGATTCTGTATGGTCAGACTTTGTCCTATCCACATCCTTAGACACTCTGCATTGCTGGGTAGATAAGTCCTTCTCCATCAGCCATTCTTCTCTGGACTGTACAAAAGCATCCAAAATAGAAGAAGAAGAAGAAGAAGAAGACCTGGGGGAAACTCCCAAGTCCCTCTCTGATTCAGTTGAAAATATATTAGAAGAGCATTTAACTTCAGAAACTTCCCTGCTTTCTATTGTGGGGAATTCGGAAAACCTGAGCGACCACATTGGGCCCAGAAAGTTTGGACATTTGGGCAAAGGAACAAGACTTAAGAGTGTTATGGCAATCCCACACCTCCAGTGGTCTCCAGGAGTAGCGGAGGATGCAAAAACCACCCCAACCAAGAATCCTTCAATAATTCAATACGAGATTATGATCACAATGACTAAGTCAGAAGGAGAAGAAGACGTGGAAGCCAAACCCACAGCCGGCTGCGGTGAGCAAAGCTCGCCTTGCCACTCATCTGGGAAGGCAGCACTTTCTCTGGGGGTTGCTGAATTAGAGAAAACAGAGGGACAACGTCACCAGAAACCAGCCAGACCGGCTTCTCGGTTGTCAGCGTGCAAGGAATTCCAAGACTTCAACAGGTTGCATGAGGTGGAAACCTGTCAGGTGTGCAGTTTGATAGCAACTCCTGCCACGGAGAGCCCTACAGTTCTGCGGGGACTGGAGAGCAGCCCAAGGGAAGGAGCGCAGCGGAACAGAGCCGATCCTGGGCATTCACAGAATGGCACCTTGGTGGAAGGGAAAGGCGATATAGCATTGGAGACCTCGGCCAATAGGTACGTGGGGAACAGGGCTGGGAAGCCAGGCATCACAGCAGGTGTGTTCTCTGAACCAGCCCTGAACTAAGGCATGTCTCAGCAAAGAAAAAGAGAAAGCTGGAGGGTCATTTTTCTCCTTCTCAGTCCACTAAACCTTGGGAGGTCCCGGATGGCTGTTGGGGTAGTTTATCCCACAACTGCTCAGGTGGGGGCGTTTTAACTCTTAACCTGCCAGCCATCTTTGGTTGGGCACTGAAGGAAGCAGTTGTCAGAGAAAAGAAAAGATGGAGAAGGGAGGGGTGAACAGCTTTGGGGGCAAAGTTCCAGCTGGTCCAGGGTTCAGGAGTGTGCAGAATGTAGAGAGAGAGAGACAGAGAGAGAGAGAGAGAGACAGACGGACAGACAGACAGACAGAGATACACACACACAGGGACAGAGATGGAGAGATGGAGGGAGGGAGAGAGAGAGACAGAGAGACAGAGAAACAAAGTAAGGAATCAAGATCCTCCCCAATTCTCATCCTATTTGCTGCAGTCGTTGTGACATGATTTTTTGTGAGGAAAGGTTGGGGTCGATTGGAAGGGGATTATGGAAACTGTACTTCAGCATCACCGGAGGTGTTAGGGGATAGACAGCTGGCCAGCATCGTTGCCAGTTATTTCAATGGCTGAATAGCTGAAGGAAGAGGAAGGAATGCCATTGAACCAGTGGCTTTTTCTCTATAAAAAGTCTGAACCCAGCTTCCTTCCATAAAGCTGAGTGGCAAAGGAAGTCCCATCAAGTCTGGAGAAGATTATTCCTTTGCAAGATTGCACAGGGTTATAATTAGTGGGTCTGCAGATGACAGATGCATTTCCTCATTTTTCCAGAGCCTTTGGATATTGCAAAGGGCTGGGAAAGAAACCACAATGACTTGGGCTGTTGATGAGGACTGGGATTTTTTTATTCAGCAATCGCCTGACCCTTCCTGAGTTGGGACCCACTTATGCATTGCTCAAAAAAAGGAGAAAAGGGAACAGCAGTTTGCAAGATGGTTGCACAAGCTAATTTATAGGTAGAGATGTACATTTGGAAATAAGGACTATAATTTATATAGAAATTAAAGGTATTTCAACCTACTGGAGAAATACTTTGGCCAGGTGACAATTCCTGCCTGCAGTTGTGGATAGGTGTTTTCAAAACCCGTCTGCATCTATCTCCCCTCTTCTTTAAGATGGATGCAGGATGGGCAGTACTTTCAAATTTATTAGCTGTTTGGGAGGCTGAAAAGGCCATTTTGTGAGTGATGCTAAGCTGCCTTTTAAAACAGAACTAATTATTGAACAATGTTGGTCTTTTGCTTAAGTGGGTTTCTAATTCTCAATGTGTGTACCATGTGTGAAACTTTTATATGTGAGAGGTTTCCTATTGTTAACCACCTTGAGCTTGGAAGTGGGTGGCACATAAATAATAAGTAGACTCCCATAAATAAGGAACACCTTCAAATAGGTGCCTTTTGTAGAGCAAGGCACATGACTCCTTATTTCTTCTTCAGAAGACATCTGTAAATAGCAGTAGTTAGTGGGCAAAAATACATCATTGAAGACTGGGTTCCAAATATTAACAAATATTTAATCACTTCTATTGGACTGAGTAGAATTTGCTTCTGAATGAATGTAGATTGAATTGCGTTATGATCAGATAAAAGGTGAGTGCTTTATCAGCCGATGTATCTTCAGATAGATCCAGCATAGACATCTAGCTTTGTAATAAGACAGATCCATATTATGTCCTGTTTCGTTGTACTCTTGATCTTCTTGTTCACATTACTGCGGTTACCGGGGCTCTATAAAGCACAGAGGAAAGAGGGATGTATGATGCATGCTTATTTTAGGAGGGCACGTGTTGTACCATAGGATCATTGCCAAAAGAAGTCGAATGCTTCTTTCTCAGCAACTCCTACAGGAGGATTCCACAGCTTTTGCATTTGTTGGTGGGAATACATCCTTAGGTGAATTCTAGTTCAAAAGTTCAAAAATATTGGCTGCTATGGTGATCAACAATGGAGCTGTAGGATTAAAAGTTTGCCTTGGGATGTTGTCTTGGGAGAAAGAGAATAAACAAAAAAACAAACAAAGTTAAATATGAATGTAGTTTTGAATAGAGCTTTATTATTTTTAGAGCTAAAGCATCTGTGTGAACTGAAGGTTCATTTGTCTACTCATTCTCTCAAAGGTAGCAGTTAAAGGACAGAATCCTGCTTAGGCGACAATAGCAGATAGAGTCACATCCTCTGCCCACTATTGGCCAGACAGCGTTAAAGAAAGAGGATTTGGGAGAAGGAAGCCCGTGTCATTCCTGTGGTCTATTTCTTCTGCCTTCTGGCCATTTCTTCCTTTGCTGGAATGGAGATCCGAAGCTTCATTCTGAGTGAAGGTCATGAGAGCCAGTAATGGCAGACAAGTAGCAGATCCCCAATATTTGTTTGTTGTCATGTGTTTCATCCTTGGGAAAGATTCAAGGTTTGGGATGAGAATCTGGAGCTTGCAAGCACCAGTAGGGGCAAGCCGGCTCTTAATGGGAGAAGAGAGCAGGGGAGGCAAAGTTGGGATGGAGGACCATTGGGGAGCAGGAAGGGCCTTTCTTGGGCCCCCTAGGCCAGATAGAATGCTCTGAAGAGCTATATTGATCCTTGTGTTGTAGGCTTTCATGTTAGAATTATGGTGTAAATAAGGACATGGGTGGGTGTGTTATAGTGGCTGCCACTTCTATAACTTTCTCTTTCAAAAACCAGCCATCAAATTAGTGTCTGCTTTGAAAAGTAATGTGAGAATGCCTGACAAGCCCAAATAGCTGGTCAAGAACAAGGAGGCAACAACAACCTAGAGTCCAGTAAGATGGCTTTAATGCTACTATTAGTGGTAAACGCAGAATCTTGGAAAATGCAAGAAGAATGTATTAGTGAGTGTATTTAGGTGGAGTCTCTTGGAATGTTTTGAATACTTTCTACCCGGTTTTGTTGTCACCTGAAGTGCGTTGCTATTTATGAGATATGCTACCAATGGGCACTCTTGTCTCTTGTTTGTTTACGTCTAATGCACTTTCCATTGCTGCCATAGTTTTACCATAGTGTCTCCCAGGGCCTTTTGGTATCATTCCATCAATATCCTGCAAAGATATGGTTGGCAGGCAGTGAAGGATTGGCTGGTAGTGCTGAAAACAGTAAAAGTGTTCTCCTTTAGAATACCAGAAACCCTTTCCCCTTGGAAGTTGCTTAAAACTTCTATGCCCAACCCTAGTTGGTCCATATCAATATTAAAGGCACTGGATTAAATAAAGATGGCAGCAGATTCATGTCTCTCACCAACACTTTTCACTTCACAATGCTGGCCTATAAAATAATGCTAGATTGCACTTCGTTCACAACTTTGGGAAAACTAGCTGAAATTCCAAATGTTTCTCTCCTTAATTGGTTATCAAGATGTTACTGTTAGTCATAAAGCTAATTAAACAGTCCACACATTTAAAGAGATGAAGCTAAGATAATTCCACTTTAGTGTCTGCAGAAGCGAACTTCTAGGCAAACCACCTCAGGAGAATAGAAAACAAAGGCACATTATGCATTTTTAAGAACTAAGAACTTCAGCCAGTTCCAATATAACCTGAACATTCCTTTCCTTGGATATGTCGTGCAAATATACCTAACCCCAAACATAAATGAATCAAAATGGTCTGAGAATTGAGCATGTGTCAAATGAGTTTCTTATTATTTGTCATTTATTGGGAACCTAAGTGTTTAGATAACCTTGCTGCTCTCTTGTGTTTGCCATGATGTATTTATTGATTTGGACAGAATAAAGATTGGTGCTATTCAGTAGCTGGACTGAGTAGGATAATCTAATCCTTAAGGTTGTCCTTCTAAGGTTAGGACACACTTTTAAAAAGAAATCCAGGATTCCTCTTAGCTGTCAGAAATACTTTCGATTTCGGTCCTATTTATAGAGCACCATTCCTGTTTTAAAAAGATTTTAAAAGATTGTTAGAAGCTTCCCTTTCTTTGCAGGGCAATAATAGTCAGTCCTTCCTCTGAAGCTCTTCATTTGAAGAACTATTATGTATAGATCCAATTAAGTGTTTCTCTTTTACATGAAGTTCAATTTAGTAGAGCTCTTGGGGTACATTGCTAGCAAAAAAAAACCCACACACCCAAGAATGGTTGCTGGAATTGGCTATGATTAGTTTAATGAAAAGAAAGACTAGGGGTGACATATATCTCAGGGGCTGCCACAAATATCTCAAGGGCTGCCACAAAGAAGAGGGAGTCAAGCTATTCTCCAAAGCACCTAAAGGCAGGACAAGAAGAATGGATGGAAACTAACCAAGGAGAGAAGCAACTTAAAACTAAGGAAAAATTCCCCGACAGTTAGAACAATTAATCAGCGGAACAACTTGCCTCCAGAAGTTGTGGGTACTTCAACAATGGGAGTTTTTAGGAAGGGATTGCACAACCATTTGTCTGAAACGGCTTAGGGTTTCCTGCCTGAGCAAGGGGGTTGGACTAGATGACCTCCAAGATCCCTTCCAATTCTGTTATTCAGTGTGACAAGGGGCTTAGCCATATAATCTTCCCACAACAGGTACTTTCACAAGTCTCAAGGTTGCTCACTCCTGGAATAAGGAGACTTAAGATCTGTATGTTTTTGGATTTTGAAGCATCTTAGGATGGATGCCTGGATAAAAACTTCAACTTTTCATTATTTTAACATGGTTTTCGTATGCTACAATAATGGCTATGCTACTTTGCATAAGGTGAAGAACTTTTAGTATTTCAGTTGTGATTGCTTTGCCACTGTGTTAATATTTTGAATTTTTAAATGCCCATAGTATATTTTTTTTTCTTATGTTTCTTTTTATATATATATAAAAATTTTATTTGGGTTTTCACAAAGCATAATACAAGTAAAATTTTCTTTTTTTTGAGAATAGCAAAGTCCCGGGTTATCACTTCTCCATCCAGACACAAATTCAATTTCATATTC